AAATATATGTGTTAGTGTAAAAAATATATTTTTTTATATATATATATATATATATATATATATATATATATATATATATATATATATATATATATATATATATATATATTTTTTTTATTTATTTATTTATTTTTTTTTTCCCAAACACTGTGGGGGAACCGGTCAGCCAAACATGCATCCAAAGTCCAACAGGGATAAACAAACCTTCAGTGGAAAAGAAAATGATGCTAAGCAGAACACGGAAAAGGACCAGGAATGTTCTGTTGAGGAAGTGAGAGGCAGTCCTGTGCTCTGTCATAAGATTTTGGATTCCAGAGTAAAAAACCCCAAACGCTGAAAGAAGACCCGTCAGTGTTTGGAGTATTCGCCTCATCTGAAGCTGATTTGGCTGATTAATGAGAGCTCTGCTATACACACTGACACTGTAGCAAGGTGGGAGGCATGGAAGTACAAGAAGCAATCATTTGATGTTTCAAAGCAGTGAAACCAACAAAAAGCTAGAGTAAAGACTCTAGCTTTACTCTAGCTATTCTAAATGAAGAATAGTACAACAGTTTCAATCGGTCAGCAAGGATTGCGCTCCCGTGATACGATTTTCCTATGATTGGCTTAGATTGGTATCTGGCTGGTCAAGAAATGAAAATCATTTTTCTTTCCCCGTAGTCAATAACTGGATCAACACAAAGAACTCATAACATTTTCAGTTCTTTTAAGGCACTTTTTTGGGGGGGTTTAATGAAAGTCTGATAAATATACATATAATATTTTGATGCATGAACAAGGGTAATCTTGTAACGTCTTTCCTTTTTGCTTGGATTCAAAACTTCAAGATCTATCAAATAATCACGGTTTTCTCTTACCTCTCATAGAAGTTGAAAAAAAAAAAATCAGATTACTTAAAATCTGAAGAAAACAACGAATCTAGAAAATCTGGGGCATCTTTTCCTGCTTTTTTCTGTCATTCATTCATTCATTCGGATTCATGGACAGAAAGTAAAATATTTTTCTGCACTTTGAGAAAAAGCAGTACAACACTTCCCCGTGACCAGCAGAGCAATACGTTTTCTCAAGTCTTTTATTTTTTTTTTAAACAAAATCTTCAAGCTCATGAGAACAGACAGTCTCCACCTTCAGCAAAGCAAAGTCCAGACTTAATTCGCCTCCACATTTATCATCTGACAAATTCAGCAGCTTGTTTCAAGAAATCTCCTCTCTGCCAAAACAAAACAGAGGCTGATGGCAGCAGTCCAACTCACAGAGACAAATACTCAGAAGGTTTGTTTTTTTGTTTTTTTCCCTCTAAGAAGAGAAAAACTAATTTTAGCAAATATACATTTAGGTACCTAATCTACGGTGCAAATCCTAAAATACAATCTACAATGCCTTAGAGGCACAAGAGACGAGAATAACAACCTTTTTCCTCTCCCCTTTGTGGCTTAGTACGCAAGAGGCATGCATACTGGGTGCTCTGGCTTAATTAACACAACAAAAAGCTTTGTAAAGGATTCTGCAGAGAAAGCAAATGAGCTCCCATTAATTTAAGCAATCAAAAAATAAGCATTGAGTCCTGTTGATAAATGTCCTCTACACGTCCCTCACGTCCGCAAATCAAAATGTCCCAGAATCACCCCCACTCATTTCTCGATT